GAAGCCGGGATATCAGATCAGGACCAATAACATTGCAGATTCTTCTTTGGATTTTATCAAGAATTTCTATATAGCAGGTGTATCAGACCAGATGTAGCAGCAATATTCTAAGCAAAGATGAATGGTAGAATTATAAATATGTAAGACAGATTCTAGCAAGAAAAACTGTCTGGCATGAGACAGAGAACCAAATTTCCTAGCAGCAGAGCTAGCAATCAATTCAATATAATCTTTCTACTTCATTTCAGGGGAAAACATTATTCTAAAAAGGTGCAATGAGTCACTCTCCAGGAGGTCAGCATTAGCCATGTTGATGGAATGTAAAAAGGATTCTCTCAGACAATTAAAAGGGAGCAATCTCATTTTGGAAGCATTAAAATTACCATGTCATTCCTTGCCCCAGTTAACAACAGATTGTAGGTTATTTTTGAAATCTGCTGCTAATTTTTTACCATATTGAGCAATTGAGACTTACTGTTAAAGCAGGAATAAATGGTTGGATCATCAACATATATGCTGAATTGAGAACTGATGTCATAAGAAAGATTGTTGATGAAAATTAGGAACAATGTAGGTCCAAGGACATCTGGGGTACACCTGCATTAATGCAAAATGATCTAGAAGACTGGCCATTCAAGACAAGCTTCATTTCACAATTTCATAAGAAAGACTGAATTAGTTCAAAAATTCTAAAAATACCATAACCTTTCAACTTGTGAAAAAAACAAATAGGCCAAATCCTGTCAACTGCCTTTGAGATATGCAAAGTAATTTGAGCTTCACCATTCTTATCTGAAGCTTGATATATTCTTTCAGTAATTATTGTAATATTAGAAAATTGCTGAATTATTTTTAATTATTAATAAATAATTACAGAATTATTTAAATGAGTGTGCTAACAGTTATTAGTGAATTTGTCTATCAGGCTTTTGATAAGAATGATGAGGCTCAAGTTGTAGCTTTACATATTTCAAAGGCATTTGACAGGATTTGGCACACTGGCCTTCTTCACAAGATCAAGGGCTATGTTGTATCTGGCCAAATATTGGACTTGATCCTGACATGAAGTAGAATGATTATTGTGAATGAATTGCTAGCTTTTCTTCTAAGAAATTTGATTCACTGCATTATGCTAGACAAGCTTTCTTACCAGATTGCATTTTACACATTTATAAATTTACCATTCATTCATGCATTGAATGTTGCTGTCATATCTGGTCTGGTGTTCCTGCTATATATCTTGAGATTCTCAACAAAATCCCAAAAAGGGTCTGTCTTTTCCATATATATATTTTCAGGGCATTTGTTCTCATAAGTTTTCCGCCATGATATTTTTACCACATACATTTTAGTGTACTACTAAATTGGCTACTAGGTCACATCATTTTACTGTTGAATTCACTAGATGTAATGGTAACTTATATTTAAATAGTTTCATTCCTCACACTTTTCGTCTGTGGGACTCTCTTCCAGTTTCTAGATTCCCTGCCACCAACAATCATCAAAAATTTAAATGCAACATCAGTCTTCATTTTCTGTCTTCTTAAAAGCTGTTCTTTTATTGTTCTTTCTCCTAACTTAAGTATTCACATTCACTTTCATTCCTAGAAAGACTTTATATTTTAGTGGCATTATCCCATTGCTTGGGGTGAAATGAGTTAAAAAAAATATACAGAATTTTTCCACTTTGTCATCTAATTGTCATCTATAAATATATATATATATTTAAATGAAATCAACATATGGAGAATATATATATATATATATATATATATATATATATACATACATACATACATACATACATACATAGCCAGCCTTCCCTGACGATCCACTTAGGTGAAACCTTGGTAGGTTTTTCTGGCTCTCTAGGTTTAACTATATATATATATATATATATATATATATATAAATTCTCCATATGTTGATTTAATTTATTTTGAAATTTCTCAACCACATATGTTACATTTCTTAACATCTTTTCTTTATATAAAATAAATATTATTATTTATATTGATTTAATCATATATATGTATGGGGGGAATGAACAAAAATGTATACAAATGTTGGTTATAACTAAACATTGAGTGAAATTTTTTTTATAATGATCTTCACCCTGTACAAGGCCAGAAAGCCGCTTTAGGTAGAGGGTTACAGAGTAAGAGGCAGCTTATGCAGATATTATCAAATCATCAGCATATATATTCCCCCAAAAAGCAGAGAATACTCTCCAGTAGTAAAGTAAAAAGAGGGTTGATCTGAGAAGTGATCCTTAAATAGGCGGTGCTAAAGATACATACAACACTGCTAGATGCTATAAAACCAAAACATTAGCCAAAATACTCAGATAATATTTTTCAATAACCTTGTCAGATCATGACTTTTATATGGAATTCATGCCTGGATACTAAATCTGTTCATAAAATGTAAGTTGTATGCAAATACTTTCTAAGACCAATAGTTAAAAACGGCTTCCAGTGAATGAAATTTGTAGGTTTTAGTAAGGGCTATTGTTCAAATCTTGTGGAATGGCACTACAAAATCCCAAAGATCTGTACCAAATAACAGAATCAATATCACTTGAGGACTTTTAACTGGAAATGACTTAATACAACTGCTTTCTCAGATAAAAAAAAAATGTCTTTGATCAAATGAAACCTGTAGGTTTTCAAACCTTGTGGACTAGTGCAACAGAATCACAAAGCAGAAACAACATCACTTGTTGAAGACTTTCAACAGCAGTAACAACTAAAATGGATAGCACATACAACTAGAAGAGGAAGTAATGAAAATGTTGATGTTCCACACTATCACAAACAAATAGTTATGAATGAATCCCCCCATCAATACTTGCGAGTACAGCTACTTGACTTGAGAATCCTATTCTCCTAAAAGGTTTTTTTTTGAGAGAAATATATAAATTTCAACCAAATGTAGTACTGGCTGCTCAGTCAATGGATGCTCAATTTTTCCTCATAAGGAAATGGTTAATATTACCATTACCATATATATGGGAGAATATGATATACAAACAGTTTATAGCAAACAAATGGTGAGTAATTTTTTCCTATTTTATATATATATATATATATATATATATATATATATATATACACACACAGACATACTTAGAATTACTTACTTTGAAAAGATTCAAGGCATTTTGGTTACATTTTGAATACTAAATAAAAAAACTCCAGTATGAATGAAATTACTACTACTCTCACACAATGCAGTATAAGAAACAAAAAAAAATATATCCTAACAACAAAACTCATACTCCACTTAAAAATGGTTGAAGAATTAGCTGAAAGCACTTTGGACAGTAATCACTATGAACAATTTCTACACTTACTTCCACACCCCACACCAAAGAAAAATTATAAGAATGCTAGAAAAAGTGAATAAAAAAATTACAAAATATTCCATTTCTGTCGTATTTGTTAAAACATATATACAAAAAAAATTACTAAAAAGAAAGTACTTGCATATTTAAGGAAGACCTAATACAGTTTATAATTTTAAAAAACAAGGATCATAACATTCATTGTGTGATTGGTAGGTTATGCAGATTTTGTTAGTGAAGGGATTTTGCCATTTTATGTCATTAACTTTACTTTATATATATATATATATATATATATATATATATATATATATTAGTGAATATACATCATATCCAACGTCAATATCACTACTTGAAATTTCATGCAGTTTCAAGTAGTTATCAACATTGGATATTATGTATATTCACCAATATAAACTTATAGCTCTGCTTCATAACATTGAGCACTGGATTTATAACATCTTATGAATAAATACACTTATGTAGAAGCAAGTATTTGTGTGTTTATATACATTTTTCCTACCCATTCCTATATATATATATATATATATATATATATATATATAGTAAATAAATGATAATTTGAAAAAACATTAAAGATTTTCCAAAATCATATATATTTACCATTCCATCAGGTGCTTAGACTAATTTAATATATATATATATATATATATTTAAAAGAAAAAACAGACCACTTTAAGGTACCATTATAATAATTTATTTCACCAGGGTCCTTTTAAAGGATGCCGGATCATCAGATAGCACTTCCAAAAATGAAATGCAACGAAAAATTAAATCAAAAGGACTCTGGTGAAATAAATTAAATTAAAAGGACTCTGGTGAAATAAATTATTATAATGGTACCTTAAAGTGGTCTGTTTTTTCTTTTAAATATTAGCTCTGGAATTACATTGAGCTCTCAGGATTTCATCCTCCTTGGGATTACCCATACGGATTACCAAATTCTTCATAACTTAAATATATATATATATATATATATGATACAGTTCAAGTTTGAGGCCATCCCTAGTAATTTTTAAATTGGCCCCCCAAAAGTAGTTTTTTGTACTTTAAATAAAAGAAAAAGAAGTTGGACATGATTTTTGGTTAAAAAAAATTAGACATGATTTTTTTATAAAAGATTTTATATGACAAAAAGAAAAAAAACATTTTTTGATTAAAATTTTGCTCTCATCAAAATATCCTCCTTTAGCCTAGATTACTGCAGCACAAATTTTTGGCACTCATTGCAAAAGTTTCTCAAAGTATAATTTTGATAATTCATTCTATTCTTCTTTCAATGACTCTCAGAGCTCTTTTTTCATTTTTTTCACTTTTCAGTCAAATTCATCCCATGATAATCCTGGGGGTGGCTTCAAACTTTTGAGCTGTAGTATATATGAAATGCTTGTACCTTTTCTTGTGATTAAATCAAAGCAAAATTCAGTGTTTATATTGCTGGATTAATATAGACAGAAAATTTTGGTTGAATGTTATAAAAGTCCTGTTTAGGTGAAGAGTTAAAGAAAAATATATTGAAAAAAAAAATAAAAAGAGAATGAAGAATAGGGAATAAAAAAAGGTGGTAAAATGAGGAAAACTAAAAAGAATCAATGAATATCTGATCCATTTGCTGTACAATGGAAATACTTACCTATGAAAATCATCATAATTAAGGACTTCCTTACCACCCAATCCGAAAAAGTGGACGAGTAGTGTAGTATCACAAAATTCTCTTTCCATTTTCTGAAAGATAATTTCACAAGGACATAACTTTTGTTAAAGTTATTCACAACTCAATGCACAAAATGTCTAAATAGGAATAAATATAACAAAAACACTGCTAGTGACAACATATATGAAAATTTAGAAAAAACAAAAACATAAAGAACAAACGTACAGAAATGAAGAATAAAGGGAACACTGAAATTTGCATTCAAAATAATTAAAGTAAAATATAAAAAAACAAAATTTTAAAATAATGGTTAAAATGATGCCATTTTTTCCTTTCTGCTCAAAAAAAGAAAAATTACAATAAAAATTATTTTTTTCATATTTTAAGAAAAACATTTACAAAGAAAATGAATATAAACTTAATCTAAAAAAATGTTTAATTTTTTACAATGATACATAAAATACATATACTTAATATATATAAGTGATTGTTTGAACCTGTTTGAGTAGAATTGACAGAATTATGTGAGTGACATTTATTTAGTATTTAATAGGACAGGGAAAATATTAGAAAAATATTCAAACCATGAGAAAAATTGTTTAGGAATTGTTAGTATTTCAATAAGCACTGAAACATCAAAATAATACACAAGTATTTCTAAGTTTTTTTCAAAATTAAATGGCAATGTTGTAATAATTCACATAAATCTCTCTCTCTCTGTATGTATATATATATATATTATAATTAGTTTTTAAAAATATGATTCCTTCACTACATAAGAGTTCTCATGTTTCAAAAACAAGAGCTAAAACCCTCGATATAATTATTGAAATTAAATTGAATTAAAGTATCAAGCCCTGTTTCATCCTCAAGCAAAAATTTAGGAATAACCAATCTTGAAATTTATGCATCTTCATAAGCAAAATTAGTTACTATGGAAATGGCTAGAGTGACCATCTTGATAAGGAGCATAAGAGTTAATTTGTATCCATATATCAGTCACCTTCGGAAAGATAGGGCCGGGGTGTCCATTTCAAAGTGAATAATGGCAATCATGTATGCACATCATCTAGTCAGTCACAGCAACAGATAGCTGTTGGCACCATAATACTTCATTAAGTCTCTAAAGAATTTTATTTTATTTATTTTTATTTTTTTCATACATAAACACGTTGCACTGAACTACAATTTGTTTTTTTAACAACTTCATAAAGGGTTTTTCTATCTTATGATTGGGTTAAGTTTTTAAACCTTTTATTAGACTATGAAATGTAATTGTTTTTATGCTAATTATTTAATGTGAAAATTTGTTGATATCAGCAAAAAACCATTAACTCATGTCTATGGTTTAATAAATTTTCATTATTTAGAAATTTAATAATGTGTAGTTTTTCTTGTAGGCATAAAGGGTATGGGTCATCCCAGGTTTTACAAGTTCTTGTTCTATTTATTATTTTCCATTTTACATTTGGTGTTTTATTCATTTCTTTCAAATGCCAAAAATATTTGGATAGAGATGTCTGATTTCTATTTCTAATATTATTGAAGGAGCTTTTGTGTTGTCTCCATCTAATTTTAAATTCATTCTTCGTTGAACCAATGTATATCCTTTCATTGTTAGGACATTTAATGGATGAGATAAGTGCATTGGTATACCACAGATTTTGTGCGGCATTTATTTTTCCAATGTGCAACTTCAGGGTTTCTACAATCACATAATTTTTCATTATTTTTGTCTAATTTTAGTTTAGGATTTTTATTAATACTGTTATTAAGTTTTTTGAACAGGAGTAGAGGCTTATCTCTTGTTTCCCGTTTAGGACTGGGTTTCCAGTTCCTTCTAAAGTCTACTTCAGCTCTATACTTTTAACATCTCCTCCTAAAACTCTGAACTTTTATTTACTATTGAATTACTTTTTCTTTTATCAATACGAGTAGATAGGTTCACACTCCTCTCTGGTCTTTTGAACAGGAGTAGAAGGTTTATCCCTTGTTTCCTCTTTAGGATTGGGTTTCCAGTTCCTTCTAAAGTCTACTTCAGCTCTATACTTCTAACATCTCCTCCTAAAACTCTGAACTTTTATTTACTATTGAATTACTTTTTTCTTTTATCAATACAGTAGATAGGTTCACACTCCTCTCCGGTCTTTTGAACAGGGTAGAAGGTTTATCCTTGTTTCCTCTTTAGGATTGGGTTTCCAGTTCCTTCTAAAGTCTACTTCAACTCTATACTTCTAACATTTCCTCATAAAACACTGAACTTTTATTTACTATTGAATTACTTTTTCTTTTTATCAATACAGTAGATAGGTTCACACTCCTCTCCGGTCTTTTGAACAGGAGTAGAAGGTTTATCCCTTGTTTCCTCTTTAGGATTGGGTTTCCAGTTCCTTCTAAAGTCTACTTCAACTCTATACTTCTAACATTTCCTCATAAAACACTGAACTTTTATTTACTATTGAATTACTTTTTCTTTTATCAATACGAGTAGATAGGTTCACACTCCTCTCCGGTCTTTTGAACAGGAGTAGAAGGTTTATCCCTTGTTTCCTCCTTAGGATTGGGTTTCCACTTCCTTCTAAAGTCTACTTCAACTCTATACTTCTAACATTTCCTCATAAAACACTGAACTTTTATTTACTATTGAATTACTTTTTCTTTTATCAATACGAGTAGATAGGTTCACACTCCTCTCCGGTCTTTTGAACAGGAGTAGAAGGTTTATCGCTCGTTTCCTCTTTAGGATTGGGTTTCCAGTTCCTTCTAAAGTCTACTTCAACTCTATACTTCTAACATTTCCTCATAAAACACTGAACTTTTATTTACTATTGAATTACTTTTTCTTTTATCAATACGAGTAGATAGGTTCACCTCCTCTCCGGTCTTTTGAACAGGAGTAGAAGGTTTATCCCTTGTTTCCTCTTTAGGATTGGGTTTCCAGTTCCTTCTAAAGTCTACTTCAACTCTACACTTCTAACATCTCCTCCTAAAACTCTCAACTTTTATTTACTATTGAATTACTTTTTCTTTTATCAATACGAGTAGATAGGTTCACACTCCTCTCCGGTCTTTTGAACAGGAGTAGAAGGTTTATCCCTTGTTTCCTCTTTAGGATTGGGTTTCCAGTTCCTTCTAAAGTCTACTTCAACTCTATACTTCTAACATTTCCTCATAAAACACTGAACTTTTATTTACTATTGAATTACTTTTTTTCTTTTATCAATACAGTAGATAGGTTCACCTCCTCTCGGTCTTTTGAACAGGAGTAGAAGGTTTATCCTTGTTTCCTCTTTAGGATTGGGTTTCCAGTTCCTTCTAAAGTCTACTTCAACTCTATACTTCTAACATTTCCTCATAAAACACTGAACTTTTATTTACTATTGAATTACTTTTTCTTTTATCAATACGAGTAGATAGGTTCACACTCCTCTCTGGTCTTTTGAACAGGAGTAGAGGTTTATTCTTTGTTTCCTCTTTAGGATTGGGTTTCCAGTTCCTTCCAATATCTACTTCAACTCCATACTCCTAAAAACACTGAGTGAACTCTAAAATGTTATTCACTAATTAAATCTTGACCTTTTCAAGTCTAGAGTAAAACATTATCTTTCTTGCATAGTCCCAAGAACTTCTCTTATTGATCTTTCTTATGCTCATATGATACCACACAGTAACACTCTACTTTGAGTGATTCTTCGGCCTTGTATTGGGTGAACATTAGTTAAAAAAAAAATAATCAATTTTGTCATTTTGTCAAGGAGGATAGATTGATCCTCATAAGGTCTTGATAACATGTATATCTTAAGGTAGAGACACTAAGTTTGCATTATTAAGTAAAGAAACAGAGACAGACTAATTTATATTTTTGTACTGAGATTTAAATTAAGAAGAAGAGACTATGAGCCTTAACTTGCAGTTAACCAGATAAACTGAGCATAAACTTAACACACTCTACCCAACACTTATGACCATTTTGGTGAGGTGTAAAAATGTCAAGATGACACCAGCTAGACAAAACTTATTCCAGAAAATATTTGATTAGTGGTGAGTCTTCAAGTTGAAGAAAATCAGCTGACCTGGTCATTTGACCTGGAGAGGGACAGGCTTCATCAGGTCACTTTGCTTAACTTGCACATGAATCAACTGAGACATGTACAAGGAGATGCTCAGATATTCAGATGTGACCTTACAACAACACTTGGTCATGGTACTGATGATGATGAAGTAAGAGGTCAAGCATAGAACTGGTTCATTCAAATTGAATTTTCTTCTATGTGATACACACTTCAGGACATTGGTGGTTATGTCTCTTCACAATTTTATGTCCTTTGTAGTTCTTAGTAAATTTTGTTGCTATGTCATTTCTCTTAAACCTTGTTCTCCCATCCATCTACACAAGCTCATTAGGTAAGTTATAAATTATTTCCCACTGTTTCTCATGCATTCAATATACCAGGGTACTATCAGATTTTCCAAGGTCTTACTGCTGTTGAAAGTCATCAAGTTGTATGGTTTCCACAATTTGGTACAGTTTTTGTGATTTTGTATTAACAGTCTACAAGGTGCAATGTGGTTCTCCCCTAGACATACAGGCTACACTAAAAGCAATTTTTAACCATTGAGTATGGAAACCAGTTACAGACAGATGACAGATTAGAGTCTTGATCTGATGAGGCTATTTAAGAATACAACTTGAATTGGTTCTATAGAGATGATAGTTTAGACATCTCTGAATGAATTGGATGCCATGCATGACATCCATATGAGAGTTTTGATCTGATGAGGCTATTTAAGAATACAACTTGAATTGGTTCTATAGAGATGGTAGTTTAGACATCTCTGAATGAATTGGATGCCATGCATGACATCCATATGAGAGTCTTGATCTGATGAGGCTATTTAACAATACAACTTGAATTGGTTCTATAGAGATGATAGTTTAGACATCTCTGAATGAATGGGATGCCATGCATGACATCCATATGAGAGTCTTGATCTGATGAGGCTATTTAAGAATACAACTTGAATTGGTTCTATAGAGATGATAGTTTAGACATCTCTGAATGAATTG